ACGAATTGCAATGCCAACAATGGCATTATCTCAAGCAGTAGATGTATTTGATGAACATTTTTATGGTTTATCGAATTTAATTGATGTTCTTTCAGCAATTATTATTGAAATGACAAATTTAAAATAAATAAATAAATTTCTTATTTAAATTTAATTAAATTTTTGTTTTTAGATTGAAGAAGAATTTCTTGGTCCATTTGAACATTTAACTTAGATGACAATTGATTATTATCCACTTTCTCAACCTAAACCGCAAGCAACAACATGTTCATCTGTTATTAAAATGATTTTAGTTTTACAAACAAAACCAAATTCCTATAAATCATTTTTATCTCGAATTGGTATTATTCGATTGTTTTTAATTCTTTTCTTTAATAAATTTATTTTATTTAGTTACTTAAGCACTTATTCGTTGTTGTCCACATCCATTAAAATCAACTGTTGAAAAACAATTAAAAAATTATGAAGCTGATATATCTGAAGAAAATACAAAATCTCTTTTATCGATTGCTAAAACTATAACATATGAAAATTCTATTCCATTGTGAAAAACAATATTAAATGTAATTTCATTAAAAGAATTTTTGTACAAGTATATATACGATATTTGATCGACAGAATATGTTCGTTTCACTATATGATGAAACAATTGAATCAATGTTACATATTATTCATCGATTAGATTTGAGTGTTGAAAAAGAAGAATTCGAAGTAATGAAAATGAAAGAATTGGGTGTGGGTTTGAGTATGAGCATGAGTGTGAGCCTTCTTTTCATTCGCAGTCACACCCACATCCTTTTACTTGCATTCTCAAAAGACAGGGTCCTGCGCCCATAAAATTTTATTTTCTCTTCAGTTCTTCAACTTTATTTAATAAAAGTTAAATCTTTTTTCACTCTGCCGTTACACATCTAACACCACATATCTCCACTCAGAAACTCAAACTTTTGAACTCGTTGATTCTCCGTGTCACTGACATAAAGGTTCCACTTTGAGTCAAAGGCCAGACTTCTCGGGCTATTCAAATGTTCGTTGTCACTTCCGCTCACTCCTCTCTTGTTGATCACCACTTCCACTGTATCACCCAAGCGTGTACTGTACCGCACAACTCGATGTTTGCCCGCTTCAGCAACGAACAGATGACCGCACTGATCGAAAACGACATCCGACGGGATAGAGAGGCCGGAGAGCAGAATCTGTTCAGTTGTATTATTACTTGTAAATTTTGACAGTTTGCCTTCGTTGAAGGAATTACCCAGTGCCACGTAGATCGTGTCACACTGATCGACAGCCATGCCATTCGGAGGCTTTGAGGAAAAGCCAAGATAGCTTCCGTGGAATGGTGAAGAGTTCCTTGCGTATTTCATGAGACGAGAATCCACTGAGACGTAAATCTCATCCTGATACTTACTGTTTCCAGACACACTGTTGACCAGGTAATCACGACCAATGTAGGCTCTCTCTTCACCTTTCGTAGCGTTAGGAGCCCACATTTGCAGACGTTTGTTGTATGTATCAGCAACAAAGATATTTCCTTCAAAGTCCACGTAGACATCAGCTGGGTTGTCAAGTTGGTTAGGCGCGTTTCCTCGCCCATTTCCACCAGCGACTGTTACACCGACGTTTGAACCTTCAAAATGGTGAACAAAGATGAGAACCGACTTTTCATTACTGTAGAGAAAGATTGTAAAAAGAGCACAAAAAAATCTTATAAAAAACTTTAAAAAGTAAATTGAGGTTTTATCAAGAGGTTTCCAATCTTCAGAAGAGTCAAAGAATGTCTAAAGGTCACTTGAGATTTACGACACTTCATCAAAACTTTTGCTGTGTGAATGTAGGTCTTGATATAGCATGAAAATGTCTTCACACAAAATTCTTTTCGAAGAGCCGAAAAGATCTTAAAATCTGAAGAGCAAGTTTTCGAGAAGGTGAAACACCTCGGACAGAAAGTGTTCTCAGATTTAGGTAATTTTTGCAGAGGTAGTTCAAGAGTTCATTTCAGCTCGATACAATGGATCCTTCCAGTATAAACACACTCTACACTCATCATGATTCAAAAAAAAGAAGACTTAGTTGTAATTTTTTACCAAATAATATTTTCCAAGAAAAACCTTCCTCTCTACGAGAGAGAGAGAATTCAACTATTTAAATCTAGGGGAAAACAATTTGGACGCCTAAACGCTACACAGGAGCCGCCATATTCAAAAATATAAAATGGTTTTGTTCACGAGTGCAAACAGGATATCAATAAGCCTTTCTGTGAGTTTTTCTCAGAACATTATCGCGCAAGTTTCGACCAGATATTGAAAAAACCTAATCACTAGAGATCCAAAGTCGAGATGCGGATTTTCATAGTTAAAACGGTCATTTTTTCCGAATTTTTAGATGGTTTTCAAAAGATTTCAAGAACGACATTAGTTTAGAAATAATCTACATTGAATACAGAACAAACTGGATCGCTTTAGAAGTGAAACTGAATAAAAAAAATTCAATCTTCGCTTTGCTAAAATACATGGTGTGATACCTAAAAACTGGATTTGCTCGAGTGACTTTCCCAACTTTTTCACACGACTTATAATCCAATGGAAATTATTTCTGAACTAATATCGAGTCAAAAAGAATCTTTAAAAAAGACTTAAAAATTCAAAAAAAACAACTGTCTCTTTTAGATGCAGGAGGCATCTAAAATTTCTCAGAGAGTATAGATAAAATAAAATTCCTTCTTAGAGAAAAATATTCGTGAAACTCTCCTAAGCAAAACACATACGGCATGTGAGCTATATCCTGTTGCGCTCGGAAGTTGTAACTAGTTTTGTATTTTTGGTCATAGGTTAGTATGTGGACAGATTCAGAAGCGTCCAAAAAATAATTTTTTGTCTAGATTCTGACAGAGTGTTGAGTTCTGCCTATGACAAATCTAAATTTTGTTGCAAATACCTTTCGCTGAAAAGTTCTAAGCGAATCTCAGGTGTTAAAGCAGGTCGAACAACTTGGGAGTGGGGGGTGTTTGCACCTTTAGAATCGAGCTGAAACGTTTTTACGGAGCTGGGACCAGCTTGTCAACAGCCTGTATGAAAGTCATCAAAGTTTGAGAGTACTTTGTATCCGAGGTATCTCACTTTCTCGAAAGCTTGTTCTGAAAATTTAAGATCTACCGAAAAAATTTCAAAAAATGTCAAAATCTCTACTGTCATCTATGAGATCTTGTAAGCATTTTGTGATTTTTGAACCCATTGGAAGTTTATTCATATGAATACACGCTTACATTAGGTATAACCTGAACATGTTCTCAAAAGGCCTGAAAAAATCTATATATACTTCTCGAGAGTTTTGATATTTTTTGAGATACTTTTTAGGATTTGCTTTTGAGATTTTTGTTAATGGAGAAAAACCTCCAAAAATCTCAAATTTTTCGACGCCTCGACAGTCCTCGTAGAAACAAGCATCCTTGAAAAATCGGTATCACTTACCTAAGGCGAACTTCAGCACTCGATGATTTCCAGTATCGGCGACGTAAAGAATATCATCCGGTTGAGAAATGAAAATTCCTCGCGGCAAGCTGAGTGTGAAATTTGACGATCCGCTTTGACCTGATACACCGGCGACAGTCATACCGTGCTGACTCCATTTAGGTTTATTGCACGCAGATTGTGTTGAAAGTGGAGGCAGAAAAGGTTGACAAAGGTCGTCTGCTGTGGTGAATGCTTCGAGCAGCAGCAAACAAGGCAGGAGGAGAGCAATGAAAAAGTTTAGAGCAGCCATTTTTTCAAATAAAGTGAGGAGGAAAGTCGAAATAAAGGAGTATTTATCTGTTGGTGCTTAAAACAATCTAATCTTCATGGGAAATTGAAAGTATGGTGCTTTTTTCTTTTCTTTTTTTTACGAAGATGCACTACTACAATTATTTTTGTAAGTCTGAAAAGCTTCCAGTTCTTTCGAAAAAAAATGAATGATCATAGTGAAACACGTGGGGCCAAAAAAGGTGAGCTCGAAATTTAGAGTTTACAAATTTATAATTTTCAGCAAATTCCAGCTTCTTAGTGCTTGCTTGCGTTTCTTGAGCGTCATCAGCAAATTTAGCATAGGTAAGAGTCTCTGCTTGCATGGTTCCAAATAGGCGGGTTGAGGCTATGAGCTACAATTTCACTGAAAACTAGAAATTTGTAAACTCCAAATTTCGAGCTCATTTTTTTTTCACCAACACGTTGTTACCAAAATTTTTGTTAGTTCCAATCAGAGCTTGAGCCTAAGGGCGGGTGTGGGTGAGTGCGGGTGCGGTTGGGGATGTGATTAAAGAGATCCCCATACTCACACCCACACCTACCTATACCCACACCCATACCCACGTCCCACACCCACACCCACATTACGAAGTGAGAAGATGTACCAGATGAGTTCAATAGGTAGATTGTCAAGATTCATTCTAAATCCTGGCAATGAAACATACATGATGACGTGAAAACGAGGAATGAACATAGTGTGTTGCCCTGCAATAGCGGCCAACATTGACCGACGATTCAAGATAATGCTCGTCAAAAACACCAAAAATGCACATATATTCGGGAAGAAGAATAATCATCCGAAACTGATTAATTTAGAGCAGCATTTAGATGTCAAACAAGGCACGATGATTGTATCTAATGTTCGATATTTTTGTTAGAAGAACACATTTTTAAAATCATGTCAGAATGTAGTGAAAAACTATGTATAAGTCTGTGATCAATTAAAATAATATAGACAGAATCATTCATAAAATTATTTATGATTAACTTTTAGAAGAAGGAGAACAAGAAATGTGTGAAGCTAGATAACTGATAAACAATACACAAATAGAACGATTTACAAATAATTGTGAGGAAGAAATGAGGAAAACAACGACAAAGTAACAAGCATATAAACAAATAACCGATAATTATCTGTCACATTATTTCACTTCTAAGTGAACTTTCATTCTTATTAAAAAATTTCCTCAAAAACTCTCCTATTCATTCGAAGTCCAATGAAAGTATTTTGTTTTCTTCATCATCATTTAAAAGTTCAATCAAGATTGCTCTTAAAAGATGGGAGAAGCTAACATGAATTTCTCAAACTTTTCATTTGACACATGAATAGAATTGAGGAAAATTGTGAAGATTCGATTTTCAATCCTTTTTTTTCTGAATCGTTTCTATGTGATTAACTAAAAACCATAAAAATAAATTCTGCTTGATCATAATTATTTTATATAATAATGATATAAAGAAGTAATACAAATCAGTGAAAAATTCTCTATTTATTATGAAATTTATGAAAAAAAAATCGGACTTTAATTTAAAAAAGCAATGACAATTTTCAGATGTTTATTAAATAATAGTTATTGTTAATATTGATTTTTTTCATTCAATTTTTTTTGAAATTCTTGTATGAAATTTCATATATGGTTTGAGAAGCTGGTATATTTTTGGACGAATACGCTATATATAGTATTTTCCATGAATGAAGGTAACAGAAGAAATAAAACATAAAGTTAAGACTCATTTCAAACATGAACTTAATTAACTTTTCAATT